AATTTTAATTTTAGTCTTCTGTAATCGAGAGATTTTAGGTTTAGATTTTGATGCCCAATTTGTTAAACACATGATATTTAGATATGTGAGAACTTCGAGCATATATGAGTTGGCTTTCATTTAACGGAGTGTGTTAGTAAGTTGTAAATAAATGACTCATAATTGAACTTTTCCCAAAAACTCTAGTTATTGAGATTAAACCAGTTCTTATGGTTTATCTGGAGAGAAAGGAATAATCTATAACAACAAGAAACTAGATGAGGAGGGCATTGTCTCCAGAGTTGTAAATTGGCTTTATGATTACCTGGACTTGCATGCGAAGGAGACTAAGGGGTCGTTTGTTTGATGGATTTGGGTCATGGATTTGGGACTCAAATCTCAAGCATGATGGATTTAGTCAAGTCCATTGTTTGTTGTGAGGTGTTAAATCCGTGGGGTCCACGGATTTGTTCCATTTTTGGATCCAAATCCGTGGACCCCACGGACTTGTAAATCCCACATATTGGGGTGGGATTTGTAAATCCTTGATGGCTAGTTATATTTATAGCAAATCCATCATAATTATATCATCAAATCTATCATGCAAACAATAGACTCTTCAAATCCATAATGGTACAAATTCCTTATAAATCCAAAGATTTTTTTGAGCCAAAACCCTCATTTTTCAAATCCAACAATAAGGTTTGGGAATGATCACCGAAAAAATACGACAGGTTTTTTTATGATGTTGGTTCGTTATCTACAGGAGGTATCGAAATAAGAGGTGTTGTTTGGGGTGATGGAGGAAATTTCCATCTTGCTTTTGTTGTAAAGGAGAAAGGAAGCTACAGAGATATTGAGTCAATTTTGGTTTGATTTTACTAGCCAAAAAAAGAAAAAAATGAGACAATAATTTTAATTTATGCCATCCTTTAAGCCTTTCCTTCTACGAATTCCTCATCTATAATTCAATGTCATTTCTTCTCCATTCTCCTCTCTTCTCTATCTCCAAAACCATCATAGTCAACATCATTTTCATGTGGCTCCTGCAATGTTGCCTCCAGCTTCCTCTTTGGTGGCTTCCCTTGTTTTTGTAACTTCGGATTTGACTCTCGACCTGACCACCCACCTCGTCCCTATAACTCCCACACCATGACTCTAGAGCGGTCAAAACTCATTCTTATTAAGTCTCCCACTTGCCGCCGCTTTCACTAGTTAGTGAAGCTTGTCAACAAACCTTCTAGCTTCATCACTTTTCGTTGGTTTCCTCTTCTTATTTTCTTACTAAAGTAGTATCATTGTTGAGATTAAGAGAAAAGTAGGAAAATAATGGGATAAGATGAATAGTGTGATATGACGAGTTATGAGAAATTTGAAGGAGAAAAATATATGTAATAACATTGGTAATAAAGTTTCGAATATGAGTTATGCGAAGATGGAGAGGAAAAATATATAAAAAAGTGAGTCTAGTGAGATTTGGTCGTAGACTTCTTGGAATGAAATCTTTATAATAACTCATAGGATCCTACAAGAAACACTTTATAGAAACAATAAGGAAGGAAACTACTTAAAATTGTTGACTCTTTTCAGCTAATTCAAGTAGTGTTGTCTCCGGTTGTCACACAATATATAAAACATAACTAAACATACTTTCAATCTTATGTTTTTACATGGGATAAGATAATATCGGAGACAACACTACTTAAACATACTTTCAATCTTAAGTAGTGTTGTCTCCAGTTGTTACACAAATATTGCATCACTAACTTTTCAATTTTCTTTTTATAATATTTTGATAAGTTTCACTAAGCTAAACTAACTAAACATAAATTCTTGTAAAAAAAGGTTTGAACTTGCTACCTATCCGGCGAAGTTATTATCATTTAAGGCATTTAGCCACTAAGGTAAGTCATGTTTGATATTACTAAGCACAATAAATTAGACATCATGTTACAAATGAGTTTAAATTCGCTCTAATGTCTACATAAGTTACACTAGGATAAATTGTGTATTCTGTTTTATTCATAACAAGAAATCATTAATAGCTAAAATAATTTACTTTTAATTTTCACTTCATAATATGTTTAATAATCATTTACAAATGTTTCAACAAAATTATAAAATTATAAGTAAAGTAAAAAGTATATATTGAAAAACCGTTCCAGAAGTTGTATCGAATAAGTCAGCGGTAGGCTATTATGTATGTAAACTGTGGATTACGCGTTTCATACCGATAAAACTTTATAACTAATTGGGTTCCAGTAGGCAAGTTTTCATGTCTGACACCAACGTGTTTTTTAAAATACTGATAGAAAGTCTAAATTCAATTACTATCCAAATTCATAATTGAAAAATGACAAATCAAAGAACAATGTTTTTTTTCCTATTATGAAACATCAAACTGAAACACAACCCCTTTCTATAGACATTTATATTTTTCCTCTATTTAGGTCTCCATTGTTCGTAAATTCATTAAAATTTTATTCCTCGCAATATTTTGTTATATTGTATCATTGATTTGAGAATGATTTGAACAACCAAGTTCATGACATCTATGCAAACATCCATTCCTCAACTTTGCTCAAGCCTCCATCATTCTCAAATTCATTCGACATACCTTATATTGGATTTGCACAATCTCTCCTTTCCAATCAATTATAAATAGTAAAAAAATTTATTTTTCAATCAAAATACATCAATTACTTTACACTTACATGTAGCTAAGTTGTGTGATGTGTTTGTTAAATGTCTATGCTAGAACAAAGTTGCATGATGCAATAAGAAAACTCAAGCCTATATAGTTTTATAATGATGATGAATAATATAGCTATAAGGAGAAAGTTGTTGCCAGTTGCCACTGTCTGTCTTTTTTTTTTGTCGTCGGTTACTGAATTAATATTAGAAGATTATGTGTAGTAGAGGTAAAGTGTCTCCATAAGCCACACAAAAAAAGTGTCTGCATAACTAACATTTTGTTTTAATATCATTTATAAAAGTTAAAGATAATGTAGAACTATAGTTTGGCAGGACAACAACTACACCATGATTAGATGCTCATGAGATGCAATTGTCCAATCCTTTTGTTTATCTAAGTCATGTTTATCTCTTGGGTGCTTAGTTACTAAACATGTATTCTTTTCACTCTTGAAACTCCATCAAGTAAATGTCACTGGGCTGTCAAAAAAAAAAAAGTAAATGTCACTCGTGTGTTATTATTATGTTATGTCAAAACTGAAAAGCACACCTCAAATAAAGAATAATGACACTCTAGAAGCCCTATTTTGTTGTAAACAAAGGAAAGTCAAACTTTCTACCACTTGACAGCCTCATTAATTTCGTAAGATTTTATTGGTGCCAAATAGAAAAATTATAAAGCATCTTTTATAGTGTATTAAGATATGTAATGATATCTTTGAGTTTAGTCCTATGGACAATAAGATCGATCACAGTTTGAACAATGAACAAAAGTTATACATCTTTTAATTTGAAGACAAATTTATCATTGATTCGACAATCTATTGCACATGAAAATGCAACATCTAAGTTTGTTGATTTATACATTGATCAAATGGAGAACTATGTTGAAATTCGATTCCATTCGATTAAGATATATGATAATTTGGTTTCCTGCGTGAAGTGGTTGTCACCAAGTCGAAGGAAATGCAATATGCTTTCAATAGTTGGCCTCAACATTTAGAGGTTGAAAACTTTAAGTGAATCGAAAATCAAATGATCGTGAATATGAACTTCTGATTGGGAACAAATTTATCATGGATTAACAATCTACTGCACTATAAAATATAACTTCTAAGTTTGTTGAGTTATAGATTGATCAAATGGAGAACTTGTTTCAAAGTTGACTTCATTCGATGACATATGATAATTTGAAACATCTACATGAAGTAGTTGACACCAAGTTGAAGAAATTTTTTATATGCTTGCAATATTTGGCCTAAACATTTAGCTGCATTGAAGAAAAAATAATGAAACCCATATACAATTTAAGATTTTGAAATTTTTAGCTCAGTCGAGATTAGATGGTTGTGAACATGATCTTCCAACTAGTTATGAAGTTGTTACTCTTATTATTTAACATTTTAGTTGATCATGTTCAAGCACACACTAAGTGTAGCGGTTCTCCCATTATGCGAAACTTGGATATATATAATAAGAATAAGTAAACATAAAAAGTAAAAAAAACTGACACCATTGAAAAATAATAACATCTAATGAAGTAAAATATAAACAAAAGAAGTGTACCGCCCATCGGACGTGCAGAAAACTGATAACTTTCGGTATAGTTTTATATAATTATTGTAGGTGACATTCCGTAGGTTATCCAGTATTGGTTGAAGGCGATTATATCGACCGACATATGCCACCGATATGACTAGCATATAAGTAGTGTTGTCATGTCGGCTTCCTACCGGTCGTTCAATCGGGTACAACCAGTATCGGTCACCAAACCGACTACAAAGGTTCGGTATTTAGCTTAGATCAAATTTGGTCAATGCCGGCCAGATTCGAAAAATTCCGGCCGGTTAGACCAGAAACCAAAATTTAGTGTTACACACATGATATCCAAAAATAAACACCTTCATAGGGTTAACCTTATATGTAATATATCTAATATCATATTTTTTCGATAATTTATCTAATACTATATTTTGCACAAATCATTATAAAATTTAATAGAATTCATTGATGTCTAATTGTTTACCATTAGTTATCAAGTTTTAGGTATAAATTATTTTGTGTGAAATAATTCTTCTAAATGGTTTTTCATGACTAATTTATTTTGAATTGAGGATTTTCATTTTTCTCATGTATTTTATTAAAACCGACATAACCAGCATAAATATTGGTTGTTTTGTGGTCGGAGCATTCCAATTACAAAGCCGGCACCAACATAAACCGGTTTGACAACATTGTATATAAAATTATTTTTGTTTCGAGTCGGACCGTTTTCTTTCTAACCTTTTCTGGGTCTAAGATCTGCGGACTTCAATCGGAAACTTTATAAAGCTCCTTGGTAGGCGTAAGAGAAGCAAGGAGAAGAAAGCTAGAGCTGCTGGAGTTCCAGTTATAGCCAGATCAGAGAGTACCGTTTTTGTAGTCCTCCGTCGAGAATCCGTCGGTCTGTCAAACGTTACCATTGCCAAATTTAGCAGTTTTGAGAAGTTTCTGATTCGCGCTAGATTCTAGGCTAATAAGGATTAGAACAAAGGAAATCGGCGGCGGCGGCCTTGTATCGATAAATCTGGCGATCGTGGAAGGCCTGAGGGCGAGATCGTCTCTGAAGCCTGAAGCTGCAGGCATTGGCCGTGGAGGAGGTGATCTAGACAGCGACGACGACGACGACGGCGTCCATGTCCTCAGCTTTAGGCGGTGGCGGCGGAGACTTCTCTCCAGGGTGAGAGGACTCTCATTCACCTGGGGCTTCGGCCTGCGGCTTTTGCTCTTCATCGCCGCCATCGCCACCTTCTATACGGCATTCTCTTCTCTTCCCATCGAGAAGGTGCGTTTCTTGCATTGCCCCAAATTATGTTTGAAATTGCAGTTCGTGTGATTTCTCCTTTGACCCTGATAGGTAGATTTGGTGTCTGTCCGTTGCAGAAATTGAAGGACCTCCTTGTATGGATAAAGGAGGATCTTGGGCCATGGGGACCGCTTGTTCTGTAAGTTGCTTTACTTCGTCCTGGTTGCGTTGCGCTTCCTTTTTCTAAGTCTTAACTTGGGTTTCCTGGAATTTTGAAGGGTTCTTGTGTACATTCCTCTCACAGTTCTAGCAGTTCCTGCTTCGGTTCTTACAGTAAGTCTCGACTTTGTTGATCTTAGAGTATCCTATGATTTTGTTCAGAGTAGTTATGTTTTGCTCTTCGATGGTCATGTTCAACTTTCAACAGTATGTTATTAACAAGTGGATCTGTGCTTAAACTTCACATTTTGTATCGGTTTCAATGAAGTATTAGCTGAAGTGCTTGCTGTTCTATTTGTTAGCTTGGTGGTGGTTATCTTTTTGGGCTGCCGGTAGGGTTCATTGCTGATTCCATAGGTGCCACATTAGGCGCAACTGCTGCTTTCCTTGTTGGTAGAACGGTAAGCATGACTGACCTTCCCTGTTTCTCCATTTGTTTCCAGCTGTTCTACGACTTGGATATCTACACAATGTTACCTCTGCTTAGGCTTGTTAATGAACCAAGCCGCTAATGAACGACTCGACGTTTGACTTGATAAAATCTCGTTCAATTAAGAAAAATTTCCGACTTGTTTATTAACGAGTTGAGATTGAGTGTACCTTGTTCAACTCGTGAGGTTCGTGAGTCAGCTCCAGACTAGGTGGCGTGGCTTGTTGAGCTCAACTCATGAACTATCTTTTTTTCCGCTCATGAGATGTCTAAATATTGTGATTAGCAAGCCAACTCGACAATCAGCTTATGAGAAAATCAATCTATATCTTATGAGTTGCCTTGTAGATAATTCGTAGGTTTATTAAATTGTTTTTCTGACCTGTTTAAGATTTTGAGTACGTGAGCAAATATGTCTCATTTATTAACGAGTCAAACCTTAACAAGACAAAGCTCTGCTTTCGGCTCATTAACAGCTCTACCCCTGATATAGGGAAGTTGCAGTGTGAACTTACTGCAAGTTCTGTGACCTTTGAGGATATTGTCTGATATTTCATCTCCTTTAATCCACATCCTTATGTCTCTTGTGCTTGGTTCATTTCTATGTCAATGTTAAGTTCCCCTACTCTAATGCAGGTTGGTAGACCATACATTATTTCCAAGTTAAAGAACTACCCAAAGTTTCAAGCTGTCACCATAGCAGTTGAGAGATCTGGCTTCAAGGTAATTGCCTCCATGTTTATGTCCTTTTGGACCTGTCCTTGTTATGTAACATAGTCAATGATTGAAATGTATCTTGAAGTAATTAGTTCCAGATCCAGAAAGGGCAATTTAAGTAACCATTGCAGCTGTTGCAAGCATTATGGAGACTGTATGACTTTTCTTTTTTGTCAGACTGAGTTCATGACTTTCATTTTTGTCAGACTGGGTGCATGAATTTGATGTATACTGTTTACAAATTTGAGTATTTGGCACTTGAAGCAACATGAGATGTTGCAGGTCTGAAATCTGTCTAAGATTGCATGCACTTACTGGCAGATATCAGCACATGATTTGTCAAGTTAGGCTACTATTCGATTGTACGTAGAGCTGAATTTCTGAATCAGGAAGCCATAAGCTTAGCATCACATTTTGGCTTCTGAAAGTTCTTTGAAGGTCATGATGTAGAACCAAATTCTGGGGATGAGTTTCCAAACAAATAATTCGATATTTTTCCATGCAGAAATTTATTTGTAGATGAAATATGATAAAGGCAATGTACTGCTGTGTTTCCAGAATGTGTGTGCAAGTGCTTGGATTGTTAAGTTTATGTGTCTATAATTATGTTTAAAATCAACTTGAGTGCCACTAATCTTTTTGTTTTTGTTACAGTTAGCAAGTTTTGTTCTACGATTTTTGTTTTATTTTTCTCTTCGTAACTGATTGATTATTAGAGCAGTCCTAATATAATTTTTTTCTTGGCATCAAACAGATAGTTTTGCTCCTTCGGCTTGTTCCTTTACTTCCATTTAACATGCTGAATTACCTCCTGTCTGTGACTCCTGTTCGTGTAGGGGACTTTATGCTGGCATCTATGCTTGGTGTAATGGTAAGATTCTTCCTCGTCAACTGTAATATTTACTTTATCTACTTACACAACAACATGATTGATAATTTCCTAGTTGTTCAGGGGTCTGTTTTGCTAGTTTGTGAACCTTGAGTTTTCAAACTTTTCAACTGCTTCATTCATTTTGTGAAATACCAAGCTTATGCACTTCGAACAAGTCTACATGCTGCTTCTCTTTTCGATACTATTCAGAATGCCAACCAACTCCCAGCCTCCTTTTGTGTAGCTCTCTTGGGTTTATAACTTCTGAGGTTAGAATGGTGATATCAATTTTTAGTACTTTGCTTTTGGTAAGAGAGTGCAATATATACTTCTAATGTCTTATGAAACTTGGTCAACGAGTAAAGACTGAACATGCCAACAGAACTTATTTTGTCCACGAGGCCGAGAATTAAATGCGAACTCACAACGTTGTACTGCATATTCTTTTAGTGAGCATAGCTGAATACATGTGCAACTAGTGTGGGTAGCCTTAAACCTTGTTAACTTGAAGGTCCAACAAATTGCTGACTTCTTGTTTCTTTCTGTTACAGCCAATAACATTTGCACTAGTCTATGTCGGGACAACATTGAATGACCTTTCTGCTATTACACATGGATGGGCTGAAGCCTCAAAAATGCGCTGGGTAAGTGCCATTTTGATATGACTATGCCTTTCCTTTAAATTGCACTACAGTCCAGGCATAAGTATGATCATTGATCTTATTGTCTGATTTCCTTGAGATGCATCTTTGAAAAAGTAAGGTCTGCAGAACCCCAGTCTTTGTTGCTGTAATCCATGCAATGATATAACACTATTTTCCCATCTCCTGGTAGTTAAAGGACGGCTTGTTTCATGTGTCTGGGGGTGGTGGGGGTGGGTACGGTATTTGTTTGAATGTGTGCTTAGAAGAAATCCATGGCATAAAATCTAATTACACAAGAACAGATGTATCAGCTATTAAGTCTTTGATCAGGTGATTGAAAAAGAACAAAGGGCCTCTGCTGCTCATGCTATAGTTTGGATGAGCATTGATGAACCATTGGTTCACTTTGTTTTTAAGCTGATCTTGCTCGAGCTGGTTGTCATTAATGGTATCTGATCCTCGCTGCAGTATTCTCATTCATTTCTTTTCTCTCCTGTAGATATTCATGGTGCTGGGTTTGGTGATATCCGGTGAGTTCACTCGAAACTCGTTTTTAGTTTCAGGGACAATGAACTTGTTTTGTTAATTTCAATGTCCCACAGAAGTGGATTGCTGATGGTCAAGAATCGTGTAAATGTCGACCAGTGATTAAGGAAAATGGAAAGAAATAAAGAATGGATTAACTAAAAGTTGTGCTGAACACTCTCTATCCTGCCACTGTTGTTCGCTACCAGTTCCGAGCATTGCACCTATAGATGGTGGTAGTGATCAACCTTACATCAATCTATAGATAAAACGAAGTCAAGCTTAGTTCACATGTAGCAGGAACCAAACTTCGCATTGCTCAGTTACATGACTAATATATTGGTAGAATGAACATAAACTGCGATTTGACTTTGAGTGAGAACTACTGATTTTCTCACACTGGTGGTTGCTTTGTACATAGGCGTTCTCTTCTTCTTGATCGGTAGAATCGCCAAAGCTGCTCTGGAGAAAGCCTTGTCTGAAAATAGTGACTTGGAAGCTGCTGCAACAACAACAACGTTACTGGATTCGTCATTGCCTCTAATAATTACGGTAGATCCTGTGGGTGGGGGGTGATACTATGGAGAATTGGAAGCGCAGCATGAGCAGCCAATTTTGCAGGTGAAGTGTCATTCTGTTCTAGTGATTGATCTTTCCCTCGAGGAACACAGAGAGAGAGAGAGAGAGAGGTCTCTTCTCTGTAGAGTTGCTATAATTTCATTGCCCACATTATTAGAGAAATAAGAGGATGCCACTGTAAATTCTTTCTTTGTTTTTATTACTCCGGTGACTCGTTTGGAGTGTTCGACGTGTATAGCTACCATTACCTACAGAAAGTAACTTCATTTATACTCGTGAAGAAGAAGAATGCGATCTACAGTAGCCCTATATTTGATGAGTTATTCATGCTTCCTTAATGGATTTGTAACTGAAATTCTAGGTTAACGAGACAAAGAGAACTCCTTAATGCTACGAATTCTCCTTTTCACTCCTTCCCTTTGGCGCTCTGCCCTGCTTTTCGTCGTTGCCGACCGCAGAGTAGTTGGTAGAATGATGTCAAACAAGTTATTTAAATTCTAATAACTCACCCAAATAATCGGACCATAATACTCATCAAAAAGAAAATTTAAAAAAGCATAAAATTAATTAATTAACCATGGTTGTCATACCGGCCAGTTAAACCTGGTTGAACTGGTGCGGGTCATGTAACCGACGTGAACACCACCGTGTGAATTCTTAATAAAATGACGTAGTTTTAGTAAATTTAATCAATAAAAATATTATTTATTATTTATTTTATGAATTTGAAAGTTAAAAGTCAATATTATTCGTTGAATTTTAAGTAAATTGTACTCATATATATTTTATATATAATTAAATTCATTAGATATGAATAATTTACACATTTTTACATATTTTATTAAACCGGTAACAAATCAATTGTATTCTCCCATAGTAACATTTCACCTGCCAAATCGGCACAATGTTATAAACCGGTTGTAATTAACAAATAAACCGCGGCAGAGATTAGTGGACAATTCGCATCCACAGGGTCGGCATATTCTCAGCTCCGGTCTCTCTCTCCTTTCCTTTCCTCCCATTTTCAACCCGCACGCATCTTCAATTGCATCCTCCACCTCCTTCTTCGTTTCGAGCTCTCTTTTCCTCTTCCCCTTCCGGCAAACAGATCGATCTCAGCAGCCACAGCCCACCCGCACGCAATCATGGCGACTCCCGACATTCTTCAGCTCATTGACGAACGCCTCCTTTCTTCTCCTCTCCACGATCCTTCCAAAGGTATTCCAGATTTCCGTTTTCTGCCGCTTGGCGTTTCAATTTTGCAGTAATTTCTCCTATTAGCGGCCTTCGCCCATGTATTCAATTTTTGGGCGGAAATGGTCGACTGTGAATTTTTGTTGTTGTTATTTATCATCTCCGTCGTTGAATGTCTTCCGCATCTGCGCAGCCGACGGAGGAAAGTCCCGTGGCTTGTCAATCGAGAAGAAGATCGAGTTCCTTGAGAGCTTGACTGGCAAAGTAAAACCTTTTTTTTTCCTTTCCTGCCCTCCAGCCTTGCTTTTTTCCTGCAGAACTTCACTGCCTGTTTAGGGTTTGCATTACCTTTTAACTTCACTAATATGAATCATTGAGCGGAGCATTGCAATGGGCAGTTTATGTGCTTAGATTTATCGATCTGGTGATTTCAGTTGCTCCTCTGCAGAAAGTTCGTGCCTTTATTGTTTGGTTATGGTTAAGGTGTCTAGCAGCCAGAGTATGAATCATGTGGTCAATAGATTTCAGACTAGGAGTAGATCCCTAGATTGCATCATCTAGTGATGCCATATGCATCATTTGCGAATATAACGTGCATTCTGATGGTGCGAGCTAGAATAAAGTTTTTAGTATGGTGGTGGAAAAGAACTAAACAGGGTGTCTTATCTTGCCCACTGCCACTATGAAGAAGAAAAGAAAACTAGCGTCCATCACATAGGGGAAATTTAACCTACCTAGATTGCATGTCTTGTACTTGTAATGACCTTCAGTTCACTCTCAGTCTAACCCCGAGTTTGCACCAGGTTACCAACAGAAGGTCTCGGAGATGGATAAATGATCGTCTATTAATGGAGCTAGTTCCTCGCCTGAATGCAGACGAGATAAAGGGCCTTTTTGCTCCACCTCCATGGGGTAATAAAATGTGCATTTAAAGAGTTTCTCTACATTCGGCCGATATTTTATACTTTCACAAAATAGTGTTAGGAGAGACATATTTGTTATGTTTGTCAGGTGACAATGCAAATGGTAGTTGAAGGGAGATTTGCATTTTGACTTTTTTTTGTTGGTTGAAGCAAATTCTCTATCCCTGATGTCAAATGTTGGTTGTGACTAGCAGTATAGATTTTGATCTTGAGATGTTTTGACAGGTGATGCCGTACCACCCTCTGCATTTTCCATGACCAACATGGGAGAGTGGGAGAAATTTAGGAATATAGACATGGACAAACAGGTTTCTGTACTCTCCTAATGCATCAACGAATCTGTTTTAAGCTATTTATTTTGGCTTGTAAAGGTTTCCCATATAAATAGGAAACCCTAATGCTTTTAGCTCGTGAAGTGGATAGTACAAAGCTGATGAGTAAAGATACCTGTTACGTTTGTTGCTTGGAGAGGCTTCACCGCTTCCTTAACTTGACCCAGATGATTTAGTTAAATTTGTTTTAGGTTAACCCTAAGTTTAATGTTAAGAAACATTCTCTGCACTGTTAGCAGAGAATTGAGAGAGAATTGAGTCCATTGACCATTGATAAATCCTCTTATTCACCTGTGGCTTCCTCTGTGGCAGGCTGATATAATTGAGTCCTTTGATAAATCCTCGTCAAAAAGGAAAGGGTCCATTGATGCTGATAAGATGGCTGTCTTAAATGCTTGGAGAAGAATTGAGGCTGGAACAAGGGATGCACTTCGCCGCAGCTTTCTTACTGAACTTATTCAAGGCTATGAGGTACATATTATTTATTCTTTAGTGTCGGTTGAATTCATTGGTGCTTAGGCCCGTTGCGTTTGCTAGGAACGATGGCTTGTTGATTAAGGGAAACTCTTTGTAATAGTTGCCAAGTTGTTTCTCTACTGCTCTCTAGGACATCTCATGATTGAACTCCATCATCATCATCTCTTGATTGACTTGTTCTTTTGGGAAAGCTATCATACATATGGTTAACTATTTTGCTGATTCAGGTATGCATACGGGCCTTCATTGAGGATAATGTAGATGGTGAAGTTCTTACATTCAGGGTTCAGGATCCCTTCCACAGACTGTTGCTTCATGGTGTCTGCGAGGTAATTTTGACATTTATCGTGCAGAGACGTGAGCAAGTTGCATCCATCTAGTTCAATATATGGAGTTTGTTAAAACAAGATTACTGGAACTGTGAATGATGTGTGCAATGAAACCAATGTTCTTGCTGACTGTCTGCCTTATCACTAAGCAGTTCTACAACTTAGAATCGGCTACCGTCTCAGAGACAAAAGGAGGGAATCTTTCGAAGATGACTACGATAAAGAAAAAGAAGAAGAAGGGAGTGGATGAGCTCCCAAGTATCACCCTGTCGAGTTTCCTGATAATGACCAAAAAAGGTGTCTGGTAATATCATGGTGCTGGCCTGCTGGGGGAGTATACTACTTCCGCTGGATCAAATGTGAATAAATAAAATAGAAGTTAGCCTGCCGAATCTCGGGCACATCGCAATGTGATGTTGAACTAGCATTGCAACATTTTTTCTTTACTGTTGTAAGATCTTATTTATTTGGCTGTAGATGGATCGTTATCTAGCTTCCCGGGGCGATCAGAATGTTTTCTTGTACATTACTACTAGGCTAGAGCTATGTAATTTGTTGCTTGCAACTCAATCAATATTACTAGTTGATTGCATTCTAATTCTAGCCTCCAACCCTAAGATGTAATGTAGCAGATTACATGTAGCAGATTAGGGCTCGTTTGCTTCATGGATTTGAAAAATGAAGGTTTTGGTTAAAACTTGGGTTTTACAAAACCATGGATATATGATGGAATTGCTCCATTTGGTTTTTAGTACAAACCATCGTTTGCTTGTTGGATTTCATGATGAATTTGGCATTATTATATTTGTGCTTGTATTAGGAATTTACCTTAGTGCCCTTATTGAGTATTATTTATATTTACATTATAATTTTTGTTTAAAACAAGTTTCATCCAATAGGTTCGTCCCACTCACAATCGGAATAAATGAACATCATTAATCAATAACATCATATTATACACATAATTAGACAATTCCTTAAGGTTTTCAATATTACAAAGTATGCTTTGCGATTAATCATGTAGTGTTTTCGTGCAATGAATAATAATAAATATTGAATGCAAAATTAATATGCACGTCAAGTTGGTAATTAGTAAATGAAAGAGGATGAGTGGGTGATTAGTGAAATAAGTACGGTTAAAATTGTAAAAAGTCATCATGGACTTTGTATCCCAACACAAATCCCACCTCTTGGAGTGAAATTCTCAAGTCCGTGGGGTCCACGAATTTAAACCCTCAAAGTCCGTGGGCCCCTCGGATTTATTCCTCCTAAATCCATCAAGCAAAAAACGGATTGTGTACAAAGTCCATGATGCTTGGTTTTTAAGTACCAAATCAATGATCAATTCCATGAAGCAAACGACCCGTAAGTTTCTCCTTTCCCTGTGACTTAAAATGATTGTGGTAGTGGCATTTTGTACTGAATTATAACTTTTGAGTTATGTTGATGTTGTGGTGGCAATATTGTCGCGAGAACAGAAGCACAACCACTCTATTACTACTGAAGTATGCTCCTGTTGTTGCTGTCGAAGTTTGCACTCGATGAATTCTGCTCTGCCAACAGTAATGAGCAGCTGGGTGCCGGTGGAGTAGCTGACATTGAAAATGTAGATGAGCGTTTGAAGGATTAGTTGGAGTGGGTGTCGTCGAAGATGACGATAAACGACGATGGACGGGGTAAATGTGTTAGAGAGTGGTATAAGATCCACGATTGAACTTCTCCCAACAACTCGAGTTATTGGGATCAACTGGTTCTTGACATGGTATCAGAGCCTGGTTCCGAAAGGTCATGTGTTCGAATCTCCACGACCCCCAATATTAATCGTTGTCTTTCAAGCACATGGTATGGTGGGCCTGTGCAAACTTCAAGCCCATGAGTTGGCTTTCGTTTGAGGGGGCGTGTTAGAGAGTGGTATAAGATCCACGATTGAACCTCTCCCAACAACTCGAGTTATTGGGATCAACTAGTTCTTGACACAACCAGGCTCTGATACCATGTCAAGAAACTACCCTTGACTAATGATCGTGCCTCCGTCAACCTTTCTTTTGGATTTTGTTATTCTAGGTTGGTTAAGGTTTATTTTTGTTTAGGCATACAAGTAAATTGATTCTACTAGCTCGATGTGAGTGATATAGGATTGCATGGTGTAAATTGTTTTTCCTCCCACACGTTGGAAACTAAAATAATGAACGTCTGGGTTCTTGAGACAATTGCATTACTCATCGCGATTCATAGTAAGAAAGCGTGAAAGCTACTGTGTTAGTTTCAGCTTGCAAGAAAAAAAAGGTCACTTAACAGGAAATGTCTGAATGAGAAACTAAAACAAACTTCAAATATCTTTTAGAAAGAAGTAGATCTTCAATCTATGAACTCACTCCTATTAAATGTATTTCTTCAATAATATTACGTCTCTACGTCAAACACATGTTAAATGAGAATATGCAATAAAAAAATATAATAATGAATAAACATGTCCAAGCTTGGTAGTTGGTACAGGAAGATCAAATAATGCAACCTACAAATTGATTGATCAATTATCAACATTCACTCCAAAGTTGATGTGAAGAGCAAGTTGCAGCAGCAAGTGGATTGGAAGTTAGAAGACAAAATTGATAAGGAATGCATGAGAATATGATTGGTTTTGGTATTAACTCATGCATGTGCTCTACTGCTAGGGGTGGGCAACCGGTTCGGTAAACCGAATCGAATCGAAACTGAAATAATGCTATTAGGTTCGGAATTCGGAAGGAAAATATGGATATTTTGGACATTGGGATTCTTTTAACCGAACCAAAATTTCAAATTTCCGACCGAAAAACCGAAATACTATAATTGCAAGCTCCCAATGGTGGATTTTAATGTTTGTAGTTGTTTTTATACTTAAATAATTTAAATATTTTATGACTTATGTGTTGAAAAGTTTGATTTTATCGTTGATTCTGCATATAATTGCATATTTATTGTTTATATTAGGGGTAAAAAATAATTTAAAAGTGAGAAGATACAAGTAGTCTCTCAAATTCGATTTTGTGTGCAAAACCGAACCGAATTGAGGTTTGGGAGAATTTGTGGACCCGGTATTCATAATTTCGGTTCGGTCCTACAAACCGCAAACTAAACCCAGGATTAAGCACCATACATTGCCGGATCTCTTCCAAAACCATCCCAATCCTACTATCTCCAGTTGCCGCTTGATTGATTTTGTCGATAATGACCTTGGCATCACCTTCAAAACTTCATATCCTGGAATCCATTGGCCACACACCACAAGATAGCTTCACGGGAGGACGAGCGCTTCCACAACCAACGGATCATCAATGGATCCAAACTGAATGCCCTGAGCTCGAAGAACCTCCCTATGAGGATCAAGAAGCACCATACCGCCAGCCGAGTGAGACCCAGCCTTCGTAGCCCCCATCCCACATACACACCATGATGAAGCCACTGGCCAGATCCGGAGGATGGAGAATGGGGCGAAGACCCGACTCTACCCCTATCTACTCCCACCCGTTCCCATGTTTAAAGTTGTATTATATAATAAATCCAGCCACTGTCTCATCACAACAACCACGTGGACCAATCGTACCGCAGTATTACTAGCCTCCGATATCCCCTTTTTTTTCTATTTCAGCGAATCCCGTCACTTTCCCCTTCCTTTTCTTTTTTTGGTAAAACACCTCTCACTTTCCCTTGTCGACGTAGCAGATATGGGGAAATCGAAGCAAGCCGTGGACTACTTCGTGGTACCGTAACTCACACTCTTCGACTGACTAACTATCCTTCACATTCATATCATCATCGTCCTCACAAACTTAAATTAAAATAACAGGTGGATGCTTTCACCGATTCCCCGTTCAAGGGCAACCCGGCGGCCGTGTGCTTGCTGGAAGACGAGCGAGACGATGCCTGGCTACAATCGCTGGCCACGGAGTTCAATATCTCCATCACTTGTTACCTGACTCGCTTGCTTCCGGCCACTTCCCCAAATCCCAAGTTCCGCCTCCGCTGGTTCACCCCTGTCGCCGAGGTGGCGATCGTGACTCAAAACTGAAACCTATCATTTTACTCTGTGTATCGGATTTGTGTATCCTGATATAATCCTTGCTATGTTTCCAGTTCAATCTCTGTGGTCACGCGACATTAGCAGCCTCGCACACCCTTTTCGCGAACGGGTTCGTGGAATCCGACACGATCGAGTTCGAAACAATGTCCGGAATCCTGACTGCCAGAAGAGTTGTTGCTGCTGCTGCAGGGGAAGCCAATAAAGATAGCTTCCTCATTGAGCTGAATTTCCCTAGAGTCCCAATTACCGAGTTCAACGACTATGTCACCGCCGCGGCGGATGGTGACATTGCTACCATCTCCAAGGCATTCAATGGTGCTCCGATTGTGGATATGAGACGGACCACCACTGCAGAGGATCTCTTTGTATGTAGAACACTCTGGAACACTAGTTAAATTGTTTCGTTTTGTTTTTTTGTTTTTTTTTATATTGATGTGCTTCATTTGTTTGCAGCTGGTGCTGCCGTCTGGTGAAGCTGTGCTGGAATTGGAGCCGAATTTCGACGAGATAAGCAAGTGTCCTGGAAGGGGAATCATCGTCTCCGGTGCAGCTCCGTCCGGGTCCGGATTCGATTTCTACAGTCGATACTTCTGCCCCAAGTATGGGATCAATGAGGTAATTAACTGTGAGGAAGAAAAAAAATAGATAGTTTTGGATCTTCTGAATACAGAGTAATCTTGTGTTCTGCAATCTGCAGCCTTAACTAGAACACCTTGTAGAAATCGCCCGAAAAACACGTAACAGATGTCCACGAATTCTGCTTTCCTGGTTGTTTCAGGATCCAGTTTGCGGCAGTGCTCATTGTGCTTTAGCACCCTACTGGAGCAAAATCCTGGGGAAGTCTGATTTCCTGGCGTATGCGGTATTTTGCCACTACCGAGTCTCCTGCAGTTTCCTCAATTGCAAACAAACTTGTCATGTAGTAATGTTTGATGTGGATTTTGGTTGGCTGGCAGGCGTCACGAAGGAGCGGAGTGCTCAACGTTCGTCTCGACGAGGTCAATGAGAGGGTGATGCTGCGAGGGAATGCCGTCACTGTTATGAAGGGCTCTGTTCTTGTATGATAGTTTACCTTTGTATTACAAAAATAAAAAACTCTGTCATTTGTCGCCTAGTTCCATTAAATTTGTTTTACGTGACTGTCAACAATTATGTATAAGTATAACTGCAACAAGTTCCATTAAATATGTTTTACGTGACTGTCAACAATTATGTATAACTGTTAAAATGGTAATGTAGCAATTAAAAAAATCAATAAATAATAATTTTTTATTTTTATTTTCACGGCATAAGAAATTTTAAGAAATTTTTATTAAATATCACACCACCCAATTTAATAAATATCTAATGAATAATAAACTATTACAAAGATTTACCCATGTAGCTTTGGAGGAGCTTGCTATGTGCACAAGACTTCTTGTGCGAGGGACTTCGATGGAGGATTGGCAACGGTGTACAAGTAAAATTTTGGGGTGATGAATGGCTACCCGGAGAGCCAGCTTTTGTCGAGTCGCCCCGGCCTTTCTTCCAGTGGACTCTACAATGCGCGATCTCATAGAGCGGCGACTGAAACCTGAGATGTGGATTTGGTCAACAAGTGTTCCCCCCCCCCCCCCACCCCACCCCTTCCATCGCTCAGACCATTCTATCAATACCCCTGCGCGGGACTGAGGAACGTGATCGTCTTATTTGGAGGTATAGCGAGAATGGGCAGTATTCGCCAAAGAATGGATACAGGAAGTGGCTGACGAACTTTATGGCAAAAGAAGGGATAGTTCCTTGTGGTGATGAGAAGTAATGAAGACAGTTTGGACTATGAAGGTACCGCCGAAGGTCAAACACTTCTTATGGCGGTTCACACGCGATATCCTGCCCACCAGTGAGAGAGTGGCGACAAAGAATCCGAAAAAGGACTGATGAATGCCCGTTCTGCAACCAGGTAGAAACCCAACGCTATACCTTCTTTGAATGTAGTTGGAGTCGCAGAATATGGCGTGGAACACCATGGGAGTGAGCTCTTGACGTAAATGGTGTGTTGGATAGCCTTGCGTGGGTTGTGATCTTGTGGGCGTTGTGGAAAGAACGCAATGCACAGCTATTCAATGGCACAAAGTGGCCCGGAGATGAGATTATCCAACGGGCAATGTCCATCCTAGACGAATATCAAAAGAACCAAGGCTCGGAAGTGACGAGTAGTGAACAACCGAGTGTTGCAGTGTGGCTTAGACCACCTGCGGGCCATGTTAAAATCAACACTGATGCTAGGCTGTTTGCGAATGGAGAAATCGGCCTAGGGGCGGTGTTTAGAGATCATCAAGGACGCTTCCTAGTTGTAGTGAGCGGCCAAGAAGGTACGTGGTTCATATGAGGTGGAGATGGCGGAAGCTTTAGCAGCGGAGTTTGGGGTCCAACTAGCGTACCAACTGGGGTTTCAGAAACCACTTCTGGAGATGGATTGTCTATCTTTAGTTGAGAAGCTCAGGCAACATGATGAAGATCATAACGAGACAGGCCTCCTCTATAGGCGTATTACCAGTCTTTTGTAGATGACATGCTCAAGCATAGCCAACATAAGCCATGTGAGATGTAGGGACAATAACGCAACGCATATAATGGCTCACAGTGAGACCCGAGACCCATTTGGGATAGTAGAGAAGTTTGGATTGATAGACCACCAATCTTCCTTATAGACCAGCTTCTGCTGGACGATGTAACCGATCTTCCCTAAGTAATACATCTCACAGGTTACCCTTAAAAAAATATTTACCCATGTATCCATTGGTTGGGTGTGATATTTATCGCTGAAGGCCGCAGAAGCAATTTGACATATAGAGATTTGAACTCTATCGTCTTTCAACCTCACGTAAGGACCCAAATCGACTATCGAAATATATACTAGATAGACCATATTGAACGAAGAAGCTGAAAATGTGGACTGGTCTGTACTCCTGTGCGGTCTGGTCCGGATAGACCATATTGAATGAAAAATGAACAATTTGTTTAATAAACCACATAAAAAATTGAACCAATAACCGAGAAAAAATATTTTTTCCTAAAAACATAAAATCCAACATGCAGGAATAATTTTGACACCCTAAATCTCAGTAAACAACAAAAATACGAAGTCCAAGTATCTCAACTTGCACCATAATGTAAAAAACATTAACATAACATCATATGAAAACATGGTTGTGAATGAAAGAGGGGAGGAGTTTCTCAAATTTAGGGTTGAGACTTGGGTCTCGCGGGGGGGGGGGGGGGGGGGGGCAGGAGAGTGGTCGAGTGGGCTGCTAACACTTATTGAGAAGTCCACTACGTTCACAGTTTGGTCCGGTAAACCGCGGTCTAGACCAAGCCAGACCAAGAGATCGAAACATCATATATAATACAGACCATGGACCTAGGGATGGCAATGGGTAGGGTCGGGTGCGGGTTTACCCTATACCAACTCCTAACCCGCCGGGTAGAGTTTTCTAAAATACCCGACCAAATAACCACCGGGTATGAAAATGATATAACCATACCCTACCCACCGGGTAACCACGGGTATTCGGGTAACCATGGGTACGAATCCTAAACTATGAACTTATACACATATATGCACATATATACTGTTGTCCATTAAAAATTCTCAATACTTGTAAGTTGTAACTATTCTAGCTTCAACAATCCACACAAATAAAAACAACAAACACATAATAATTGTTCTTGCTTCTACAATCCACACAAACATAATAATCATCTACATATTCATCATCAATAATGGTAGCTAAACTCAATTTCTCAAGCTAAAATAAATTTCTCAAGGGAAATTGACCCTTTGGTTAGCGGGGCGGGTATAACGGGGCGGGTATTATCGATTACCATACCCGTACCCTACCCTTTATTTTGAAACCGGGTATTATCCGTACCCGCCCCTTAACCCGTCAAAGCGGGTAATTACCCTCGTTGACCGGTTACGGTCGGGTAGGGTACCCATGGTTACGGGTTGGATTGACATCCCTACATGGACCAGACCATTCTTGATGGTCTACGATACGTACCAGACTATGCGATCCGGTTTGGTCCATGATTTTCCAAACGATCTAGTCTATTTTCTTAGCCCTACTTCAGGCCAGAGTACGGTGCTAACCCTAAATATTATCACAAAATCGTTAATTTCATCCAGTAAGCACGCCACGTCACTTAAAATACTAATAAAAAATTTAATGATCAAACCCAGTTGAATCGGACAGTACTCAGTACTAACTCGATACTTACCCACCCGAAAAATATTGGAGACAGTAAACAAAATGGTCACACAACAACACACTTAGTAACAAAATGGTCACAATTCTTTGGTGATTGTACCAAAATGGTCACACTGCTCCTTTGAATAAAAGTGACAAAAATCGATGTCCTCAATGTTGTAAAACTGGAATGAACATTAAAAACCTGGAAAGAAACCAAATTCAAACCTACAACTCCATCTTTCAACATCCAAATTTTGTTGTGTGACCATATTTCTGGTTTGCATTTGGTTTATTTTTAGGAATTTTTCGGAAATGAATGATTTTTTTTTTATTCTTTCTCTTTTTAGTGGTATTTGTTGAAAAATTCCAAAGATACCGGAGTCACAAAGCGGTCCAAGACTCCAGGAGCATTACCAAATCCACCTCATTTCAACGAATCCCATCTGGTTCGCCTGCTCTCTCTCTCTCGTCGCAAATGGGGAAAGCGAAGCAAGCCGTGGACTACTTCGTGGTACGGTAACTCTAGACTAACAATTCGTTCATCTGAATCTTCTGTATATCTGACATTCATATCTCCAATCGATGCTTGAATCAGGTGGATGCTTTCACTGATTCTCCGTTCAAGGGCAATCCGGCGGCCGTGTGCTTGCTGGAAGAGGAGCGAGACGAGGCCTGGCTACAATCGCTGGCCGCGGAGTTCAATGATAATGGTGGATTTGCTCAGTTTTGGCCTTTTGGGGGGCATCTGATACAATTATGTTTTAGGTTAATCTCTGTGGTCACGCAACATTAGCAGCCTCCCATACCCTTTTCACGAATGGATTCGTGGACTCTGATACGATCGAGTTCGAAACCCTGTCCGGAATTCTGACTGCCAAAAGAGTTCCTGCTGCTGCTGCTGCTGCTAGTAGCCCACTCAGTGATGGGGAAGCGAAAGATAGCTTCCTCATTGAACTAAATTTCCCTACTGTCCCAACTACTGAGTTCAACTATGCTGCCACGGCTGTTGATGATGACATTGCTACCATCTCCAAGGCATTGAGAGGTGTTTCGATTGTGGATATGAGACGGACCACCACTGCAGAAGACCTCTTTGTATGTAAAACTCTGGCATTGAATGGTGTTTCGTTTTATTTGATGTTGATGTCGTGTGTGGTGTGCCTCATTTGTTAGTAGCTGGTGCTGCCGTCTGGTGAAGCTGTGTTGGGATTGGAGCCGAATTTCGGTGAGATAGTGAAGTGTCCTGGCAGGGGAATCATCGTCTCCGGTGCAGCTCCTTCCGGGTCTGGATTCGATTTCTACAGTCGATTCTTTTGCCCCAAGTATGGGATCAATGAGGTAACGTGGAGAAGTGTTTTGGACTTTGAAAAGGAAAAATGTGGTGTTCTCTAATGATGCTCTAGGGGAATTAAGCTCCAACCGGCTAGAAGATATATTACAATCAGAGAATGCTGAATTAAGGTTGTACCTAGGATGAGTCCAATGATTTTTGTTTGGTGCTTCTGAATACATATTAGTCTTAGGTTCTGCAGCCTTAACTACAACACCTTAAAGAATCCCGGAAAATGTAACAGATGTCCACAAATTCTGCTTTTCCTCTTGTTCAGGATCCAGTTTGTGGCAGTGCTCATTGTGCGTTAGCACCCTACTGGAGCAAAAAGCTGGGGAAATCAGATTTCCTGGCGTATGCGGTATTTGCCCCTACCCAGTCTCCTGCATTTCCCTCAATGCAAACAAACTTATAGTCATATGCTTCGTTATCCGACTTTCTCATGTATGTTTGATCTGGATTTTGTTGGCTGGCAGGCGTCACCCAGGAGCGGAGTGCTCAACATTCATCTCGACGAGGTCAACGAGAGGGTGATGCTGCGTGGGAAAGCCGTCACTGTTATGCAGGGCTCTGTTCTTGTATGATATTTCACCTTTGTATCAGGAAAAAAATTCATCTTCTACGCATTTCAGCTTCTCCGTTGGGATTCATTCGAGATAAGCAGAATAGTAACACTCTAATGTGGTCAGACACTACTTTTGCACTTGAATCCACCCTTCTCCTGGAGGGTTCCATTCCCATTTCTAGAGATGCTTCTATCTCTCTATCGGTTCAACCTCATCTGAATTGTCTGAAAAAAAGATTGTTGGTCGATCTCAGCCTGATCTCCCATTATTTTTTATGCCCATTTCGTCCTCACCCAGTTATGGATTTGGGATATGAATATGATCGCTACAAACTACACTCCTAACAGTAACACAGGTCAAGTGTAACTAATGAAAAAGACTATTCTAGTGGCACAAGTAATAAAATATCGAAAACAACGGGTCTTTAGATTTATTATTACTCAGTTTCAATTTATTATCTAGCAAAATAAATTCAGAGTAACCAACTAAACTACTCTATAAACTATACTAAAGTTAGACTACTAATTACAGATTAGGAACTCACTCACATATTGATTCCCCCTAGCTACTAGTCGGATTAATGATTGATGATTATATAACCTGTTTCACTCTTCATTCATAATACGAAAAGTCATTGACTAAGCCTTGAATATAAATTAAAGCAATCAACGTCCTCGTGAGTCGATTGCTTAGAGGGAAGTATCCTTCTATAATACAACTAATTAAGGCTTTCTACAATAGACTACCCCTATTGAGAAAGACTCTCACTCAATACAAGGTAAGAAGTCGATTCACTCTTGCACAATCGATCCACTACTTTCAATCTATGGTGCTCTATTGACCTAATAAGATATTCTCTATCATAGAATCAAAACAGAATTATTAATCTTGATTAAAACAGAATTGAATATGAATCATGCATAGATAGAATATGAACTCGAGTTTAGCGAGCTAGAGTACACATACATATACAATCATCAAATAAATCAAAACATGACTAGTATTCCTCAAAACCTAAGTGGAGGGAAGTTATTCCGTCGAAAAGAGAGAGAATGCAAAGATCTGATATAGATCTTCAATCTCCATCTCCAACCTTTATTCTTGAAATTCAATGACAAAGAAATCCCCTAAAATAGCTCTTGAAATGTTCTCAAGTCGATTTCTCACTCTATGGTTCTTCCCTTGGGTGTTTGGGAATAAAAAACTCAGTTTTGAAAGAAGAAAGGGACGATAGTCGATCAGTAGCCGATTAAACGACCAATTTGCAACGACATGGACAACCCTGCTATAACTACGTGGGCATGCTGCAATGAATAACTTAAAACATAAACCTCTTTTAGAATAGTTTCGCGTAGTGCGTGCGACTAATTCTTCGTGCTGATCATCCAAATGACCACTGGTGCATTGCAACAAAACATAACGTTTGTAAAAAGAATGTGATAAGCTTCAAATACGAATATCTGAAGCAGTAGTGGTGGAGCTACCTTAAGTTCAGGGGAGGATAAAGTCCCACTCAACTCGCCAAATCAAGTAAAATTACATGCAATTTTGGTAACAAATTTGATACTTGTAGCTTTTGATTTAGATTTTTAACCCCGTTCATTTAGATTTGTGGGTCCACCACTGATCTGAAGAATAATAAGTTATGACACACACAAACTCAATCCAATGCGCTGAAAATCCCACATGAACCAAAATTCGGTACAAGAAGTTAGTCTTGCGGGCCAGTTCCTACTCGATCGTCTGATTGTGAAGGAATTTGTGGCAACAAAAATCACCGCTTGATTATTGTGCATGATCATCATCACACTATCAAAGCAATGAGATTTCCCAAACGCCAACAAACAAATTCCTAGCAACTTCCTGCCTTTGTTCAACCGAATCTTTGCGTAACTAATTTCCAAATGAAGAATAACTCGCATGCAGTTCAGGAAAACGACTCGAGCAAATTTCTCGCACATGGTCATAATAATTGTGGAGAAAGGGGGGAAAAAAGATTAACGCTCTGTTTGGCAACAAGGGGGTGCAAATTGCAGGAGGGTGCAAGTTGAGGGGTAAATTGCTGGGGGGTGCAAATTGCTGGGGGGTGTAAGTGGAGGGGTAAATTGTTGTTTGGATGAAAAAGTAGGGGGTGCAAATAGAGTGAAAAGTAAGTAATTATATTATTTTAAAATAGATTTTAGATTACAAAATAGATTTTAAAATTTTAAAATATTATCATAAAATAATAAAATAAATATTACTATATAATAATAAATATACTTTACTAAAAATAGTTATTATATAATAATGCTCAAATAATAATTAATTCTGACAATTGTATAATCATTGATCGAGCGATCTCAAAACTCGAAGCTCAACTTGTAACTGGTCATCCTATATAGGGTTTTCGTGTCTAGTTTAATCTTAAATTGTCAAACTTAGTCAAACACGTTCGAATTTGTAAGTTTTAACTATTTAGTCAAATAAACTGAGTTAACCAAACAATTTCTCTCTATCTTTTCCACAAACACCTCGTATCTCTAATTTTCAATGCAAATTCGATTCAACCAAGAGATCTAGATTTGACTTGACGAACATTGATAAACTTGTTTCCAGAGTCAAATGGTCAACCCCGAATAATGTTTACATTAATGATATTTATAAAAAGAAGAAATTGATAATATTAATTATTATATAATTATATATAACACAATTAGAAAAACAAAATTCCATAATTGCCCCCTCCCCCTCTCTTCCTTCCTTCCCTTGCACCCCAATTTGGGGGGTAAGCCGAAACAGTAAATTTGCACTCCCGTTTTGCACCCCCCTACTGTTCCAAATTAACCAAACAGGTGCAAATGTGTTGGAAACTGTATTTACCCCTCACATTTGCACCCTCCTCCCATTTACCCCTCTTCCCAAACAGAGTGTAATGGATTATGGAAAATGTTTCTTTTTGCTTCGTTCCTGTTTCTAAAATTACTTCCAAATCATTTTCACCCGCGCTCTTCTTTTTATCTCTATGGCTCTATCATTTAGGGGTGGCTATACGGTCCGGTCCGGTTAAATTGGCCCAAATTGATCCGGTCCAGTCCGGGTTTTTTGAGAATATAAGGACCGAAGATTGGATTGGATACAGTCCGGTCTTGATCCGGTCCGGTCTTGACCCGGTCCGGTCCCAATTCGGTCTTGATTTTATATTGAGATTGTGGGAATTTGAGTGGCCTAAGGCCTAAAAGGGTGAGGAGTTGGTTAAGTTTTGTACTAAGTGTAAAGGTTTGTGACCGTTTATGCAAATTACCCTTAAGTTTTGGGTGTTGAGCTCTCTTATCCGGTCTTTATCCGGTTTTTTTACCTCAAATCTAAGCCCAAAAATTGGATTGGATTGTTTACTATCCGGTCCCGGTCCGGTCTCGGTCCGGGTTATACGGTCCGGTTTCCGGTTTTTCATCCGGTCCCGGTCCAAATAGCCAGCCCTACTATCATTGTTTTAGAGATTGTTGGGTTTTGGTGATATTCAAATTTATGTATCGTCAACATTATAAGTATAATATTAAAAATGTAAATTGGTGTATTACCATTCAGGGGCGGAGCTACTTAGTAACTAGGGTGGGCCCCGGCCCCCCCGGGAATAGTCCCGGCCCCTAGGATCTTATGAATATTTAAATATAGTTTGGATAAGTAAGCTTGATAGTGTATTGTCACATTAATTAATCACGTAGTCCAACGGTAGCTACACCAATTTTTTGACTTGAATCACCCAAGTTCGATCCACATCTACCACTGATTTTTGCTTTTCCCACATTGTACCCTAGGGCCTAGACTAACGAAAAAGCCACAAACTAAAAGGCCAAAACCCAATCAAATTCATTCTTTTCCTTTTTTATAGAACGTGTATCGGAATTGACAATGAAGAATTGTCGAGCAAATTTTATTTTGTGGTTGATATGTCTTATTTTCGCTATATGTGATTTTGCATTTTCTGATGTGAAGAATAGATGTGAAACAGAATGAATGACAAATCTTTTGTTAATGATTTATTTATTTGTATTGAAAGAAAGATACGTAAGAGTTTTAATTTAGACGCTATATTGAATGATCTAAAAAACGTCGTATACTTTAAAATAAGTATAATAAATATTTTATTTTAATTATATTTACGTTTTCGGCCCACCCGGTTTTGAAATCCTGGCTCCGCCCCTGTTACCATTTACTTTATTTGATTTTTGTGATAGTTATTGCAGGGGTCTAATAATATATTACTATTTTGGAAAGATATAACGTTTTCCTTTATTTTATTGTAAAAAAACACAATATGTGTAAAAAAGTAGGGACATAGGTGGAATAAAAAAGCTCAACAATCTCACCTAATAAATTAGTACATGAAATGAAATTTAAGTATCACTCATTTTAAGTGATAGTTTCTGCCACATTAATTACATAATACTTGTATTTTTTTTTTGCAACAAAATACAAATATTATAACTATACCAACCAAACAATCAGAGCAAAACTTTGGTTGTTGCAAGTGAGAACTAGGGGTGTTCAAATGGTTACCGTGGTAATAACCAAACCAATTAAGCCTAAATTTCATTAACCATGTAATAAAATGTCTTAACCAAACCGTCCAAATTAACACGAAAAACCAATTAACCAAACTAAAGTTTAATGGGTTTGGTTAATCGGATAATCGAATTAACCAAATAACATAACATTACATGAAAACAATTATCATGTTAATGAATAAAACATAACCATATGTTGTTACTATCATAAACTATCATTATATATAAGCAATAATAATAAGACTAACCATCCATGATTATCATCATCATTCAAGTTAATACATCATTCATCATCTCTGCACCTAATATAGTTAGCTTACAACAAACCCCTTAACATAAAGCTCTCCTACAAACACTTAAACTATACATAGTTTGAGGTGGCTGTCATGGTATTGTACGTAATCCAAAAGTCTAGTAGCTGTCCAAAATGTTTTTGTTCACTGGCCCATTTAATTTCTGAACCATAATGTGTTTGGTTTGTTGTGCACATGGAAATTGTTTCAGCCGAGAAACATGGGAGACGCCGGACCTGTGAAAGGGCGGGGTTGGCCCCGATTCTCTACACTCCAACGATCAACATTAGTGAGCTTATAAAATAAGAAGAGCAAAGATAGAGAGAGATTGTATAGAGAGATAAGTGATATGTCCAAAAATGAGAAGGAGAGGAGAGATCCCCTTACTTGGAAGACCTATGAGCATATTTATAGGTAGAGTCTTGGGACAC